CGCTTCGGACGGGCGTGGTTCTCTCTCCTGGAACCCGAGGTTGGGGGTTCTGGTTGCTCTCGTTTCGGAATGTGGTGGTCCGTTTCTCCTTCAATTTTGTGTTGGTTCTTCTCTCTGTATACTGACACAGGTGGATCTTTCTTGAACGTGGTCCTCCTCGCTACAGGCAAAGACAGGTGGTACATCTCTTGAATTCTGGACAGATGGTTCTCGTCCGTTCATCTGCCGGATTGCAGTGGTGTCCACATCTGCAATACGAGGCGGACAAATTGCATTGCAAAGGTTTGGACTGCGTGGTCTTCATCTCTATTCTGGAACCGCTTTGGGTCTTTTTTTACCCTCATTTGAGAATGGTGATTATGAACCGTATCCATGTTGACAAATGTAGAAAAGGTATGAATGAGACTGGATATCTTTACAATACAAGAGATTTTATTTGACCGGTTTCGATTACGTCTTCGTCAGCAATACATATATGTATTTCTGAAGAGATACATATATCTATTTCTGACGAAGACGTAATCGAAACCGGTCAAATACATCTCTTGTAATTGTGAAGATATCCAGTCTCATTCATACCTTTTCTACAATGGTGATTATCTTCACGTTAGGACAGACGCTACTTGGCGGCCTACAGACTCTCATGACTCTCCTGGACGGGTACTTATCATCCAGGTGGTTTGGGACTTGTAGTTAATACGTGCCGTGATGATTATGATCACAAAAAAGATCCATAAAATCAAAAGATATCTGATGAAAAAATGGAGAAAAAAAAAACACACACACCAACCAATCAACAGCGCATTGTTTCAATTCTGTTTTATTATCATTCCAAATCAACTATCTTCCTTAATATGTTTTTTTTTTTCGATACAGAGATAATAAAAAGCAATAACACCAAGGATGTCAATAACGAAAATTCCGAAGCACGCAGGCAATATCGTGTAAAAATGTTATATCCTCGGTGTTGTCAGAATAACATACGAAAACAGCTTTATTTGGAAAAGTATAAAGTTCATTAAAACCACTAGTTTCAGAATTTATATAAAATAGATATTTTCTCAGTCGTTTATTTATTTTCATTTTTTGTTTAACCAACAGTAAAGACCAAGGTAAAGATGATTTATGTGTGTGCACGAAAACTGCGTCAACAATCGCAATCATTAGTCGGTCTAATGTAAAGATCAATGACCCAAGAATAACCACTTCATCTTATATTTACTTATATTATATATATTATATATATATATATATATATAATATATATATATATATATTACATATATATGTAAATATGTATCTACATATACATATCACACACACACACACACACACACACACACACACACACACACACACATCACACACACACACACACACACCACACACACACACACATATATAATATATATATATATATATATATATATGTGTATATATATGTGTGTGTGTGTGTGTGTGTGTGTGTGTGTGTGTGTGTGTGTGTGTTGTGTGTGTGTGTGTGTGCATAATACATACATACATATACATAAATACATATATGTATGTATGTATGTGTATGCATGTATGTATGCATGCATGTATGTACGTATGTATGCATGTATGTATGCATGCATGCATGTATAATGTATGTATGTATGTAAAATATATATACATATATATACATAATATAAATACAAATATATATATATATGTATATATATGTATACATATATATATACGCCAATACTCACACAGATGACAGACCGCGTGGCAGACAGCGAAGACAGCCACAATACCCAAAAACCGGAAAAAAGCGCACCGCCACACCACCAACACAAATACCCAAACACTCACGGTCGAAATTCTTTCCCGACGACTTACACTCACGTATATATCTATTTCCACGTTATATATGAACTATTATATACGGGCCTACCCTTTTATATATAATCGTATATATATATAGATTATACTATCTATTATATAGAGATAGGTGACAGGTATATTATATATGTATAGGACTATAGTAAATAGTATACTATAACTGGGATAGGAGAATACCATAATCGGATCTATATCTAATGAGGGTAGTACGTATATAAAATTACCTGCGAGTGAATACCTATTGGAAAAAAAGGAAGAAACGTTAAAAAGTAAAATAAACCAAAAAAAAAGCAGCGGGGAGAGGTAGACGGGACAACGCCGTAACAGAAACCTGTGTTACGGAAAAAAGAGTAATTGCTGTCACAAAGAAAAGGATCAGTAAGCGACATGCTCGGATTTGCACATGAAATGCCCATTATGCAACGGGAGGAATATATTTCTAGCTATTTCATTTGATCGGTTGGACGTTAAGCATTATTGAAGAGTACATTGCCTAATTGAGAGGACGAGAGAAGGCCCATTTGCTACCAGAGTGCCAAGGCGATGGCGGGCTCTGACAGCGCACTTAATCGACGTCTTTCTTTAGGTAGGAAGTAGAACAAGGAAGCGAGGAGGGAACGATCGAGGATCGCAGGTAAGACAGTAAGAGGAGAATGAGAGGAGGAGAGAGGTAATACACAGCAAACACACAGCATATTGCGTATATATTATATAGATATACGAGATATTGATATATATAATTAGAGTTAACTATATAGTATAGCGACTAATATATATAAAGATAGATAG